ACACCGACAATCCATTTTCATCCTGTTCCCTTAGTGGCCAAGTCTCTGCACCGTAGAGCAGGACTGGCCGAACTGCTGCAGCATATAATCGACCCTTCACAGAGAGCCAGATGTCACAAGTGTCTTAAGTTGGCAAATATCAACCGAGCCTTTGGTATGCCCGCAGATACTTCATCTGTGATGCATCCGCCAAGTGAGGTATAGCTGCCGAGATAACAAAATTTGTCTACTTTCTCTACTTTTTCCCGTTAGGGCGAAACTGGGTGTTGGACCAACCCAATCTTGTAGTAACATTTTACACTTTGAAAGTGCAAAACACATGCCGAACATGGCTGCACTGGCACCCAAACTCCCCAGAAAAGCTTGCAACTTGTTCGGATTGGCACCAGGCTGGCGGAATCGTTCGCTGAGATACTCGACTCAGCAATCTAGCGTTTGTGTCCTGTTGTGAATGGTCTGTTTTTTTCTATCGCCGCTGCTTTTGGGGACTACAACGCGGTGAATTTCAGTGTTGCGGATCAGCTAGAACAGTTAATTGTTCCCTTAGGCAGCGGATACTTCGATTTCAACAACTCACCAGTCCTAACGGTCTTTCTTGAGACTTTCGTGACTTGGCATTGTGGGCGCCATCTATTCTTGCTATGTCCCTATCGTCCGTTTTCCTTCTGGACTACTGATTGCTGGCATGTCCATTGTCTTGAAACAGGCTAAAGTCCACATGGAATGTTTGACGTTAAATACAACGTACGTTTATTCCGATCCCTTTATTCACCTAATCTTTGTGAATTCAATTTTTTCACTCTGATGCTGATTTGAACATTCCAGTCTTCCTTCCACTCCTTCATCCAGATAGATAGTCATGAGTCAGCAATCAAAACCGGCTCACGAACATGCTTAGTTAATGATTGTGAAAAAACGGCCTACTAAACCCACTTGAGACATTTGTGACGCCGTCGAGATATCCGGCTGTCGGTGAAGGGGAATGTATGCCGCAGCAGTTCGGCCAGTCCTGCTCTACGGTGCAGAGACTTGGCCACTAAGGGAACAGGATGAAAATGGATTGTCGGTGTTCGAACACCGCTGTCTACGTCGCATTGCACGAGTCCGGTGGAGAAACCGGACAAGCAATGCTGATTTTAGGCGTAGTATTTTAGGCAGTCGCGGTCGTTTACTGGAGCAAGTGATCGACCTCGATAGATTACTTTGGTTGGGGTACGAAAGTGCATGGTTAATGGTTGTAAAAACTGAAATGAGCTGATTCCAATTGGAGGGCTTGTAGCTTGAATCTTAGCTTTGCCACAAAACAAATGTGAAAATGTGGGTTCATTTCAGTTCAGTAAAGTTAAAGATAGAGTCGAACGAAAATGGAGATGTTCAGTGGTCTAAGTTTGGTTTAGGTAGACGATGATGAACTAATCGAGCTTATGATTTTTTTTCGGTGACCTATGGATTGAAGCGTAAAACCCATCGGAACTGGTGCCTGATCGAACGCATGTTATGTGGAGTTGATTAACTGAGCACTTGACATGGACGCGAACCTCAATTCATCTTATATTGACAGGATTAAAGGAGCTGACGATACTTCTGAACTTTATTTTCGAATATTGTTTCTGGAATGTGACTTATTGCTGTGATGATTGCCATCCGCTTCTCTCATTTTGTAATACTTGTTGTTTTCTGTTTGATAGTCTGCTGTTTTCATGCGATTTCTTGATTTAAATAGTTTGTTCCTTATTTTTTGATTGTTTCCTTGAAATAATCCTCTGTCAGTGCGTACCCACGTTTGTCACTCTGTGTCAATCGCACTTTTCTATTAGATCTGCGAAGAACTGTTCGGTCAGCCGCACATTGTGTTCTCTATGCTCGTTCCACTGATTCACCAAGGTGATGCAGTCGGGGACTGGGCAAAGGATGCATTTCTCCTGGTCCTATCAGTCTCGAAACGTGATGATGCTTTGGGCAACTATTTGGCGTTTGAGTCCGATTTTTGTCCGGTACGCGTTTTGTTCATTATTTGCTCTTGTTCTGTGTTTTTCTTTTCAAAACAATACTTAGATCTCGTCGCATGAACTCATCCACATAGCACACCCCACTTCTGTCATTCGCCGCGGTATTCCACTGGAACAAATTGTCGAACTCCATAGATTACGTTGGTTGGGGCATGTGTTACGCATGTCACCAAATCAGTTACCATTGAGCGCGATGGTTGCCGAAGCAGTCCGTGGGTGAAACAGAGCCAAGGGTGGTCAAGCTAAGACCTGGCACGAGAGTGAGAACCATAATCAGGAGACCCGGTCACATAAGTACCATTAGGCTTCATAGCTAGGGTTATCGTTTAAATCGATGGTTAAAGATACTCAGTGATATGACTGTATATTGTTCACATTACCATTCGTGCCTCCTCCATTTCTTTGCTAATTTAGTCCACTAAAATTATCAATTTTCTATTTAGCTATACGTTTAGCTTTCCTTTCTTTGTCAAAAAGGCACCCAAAAGACAGCGTCCGAACCCAGCGCACGAAAGTGCATGGTTCATGGTGTTACAAACTGAACTGAACTTTTTACTCCGTTTTCTGAGTGTACTGTTTGGAACATTTTTGAAAGTCGTGCCACCGAAATGCCGGTTCGCTAGTTCTTATTTGTTTGCGACAAAACGTATGCGTTGGTTTATTTATGGGTTATTTTTGTTATTATTTTTGATAATAGTGTTATATTTGACATTTCTGTAAGTCCAGGCTGTGTTGAATGAATCAGTGGTCTTCATAACAAAGAAATCAGTCCATGGCTTGGTCGTGGACTGTATGGTACCCGGTTGTCTTGGCCAAAGCAGTTGAATCTTCCTTAGGCTTCACAGCGTTGCATGTCGCTAATAAGTGCATAACTAACAACGCAGTAAAGCGATGTAATAAGCCACAATTCGAAGTCGTTAGCGCCCAGTTGATGGAATCCCACACGCTTGGAATGTTGTTTATATCTCCAAGGTGATTGATGCTCGATCGAGCCGGTAATGATTGATGTCCTGGGCGGTTTGGAGTCAGTTTTCTCAGTTACCAAAATGAGCCGACTGGTTGTGGCTGATACATTAGGCTATATTCCGCTAAGTTAACTTTTGCTGTCTCACTCTAGTAAAGACACGTTCGCCACGGGAAGGCATCAAGCAGGTCTTCCCCAGCACATTTTCTAATAGATGCACTACATACGAGCATTTTTTAAATAGAGAATCAGACTAACTCCAGGGTCATTTATAGGCAACTAATGCGGGTTCTATGAATAACTGTCTCTTTTACGCAGTATACCAATTTTAACATAAGAACAAGGGTTGGAAAACTGCAAAGTTTGGTTGCTTGATGACCTTTGTAAATTCAGGTAGTGAATTTGTCGTAGACAGTCTACTTTACAAAAGTGGTCAATCTTGTGAACCGTGTACATTTTAAGGTGTCGAATCATCATCTCACAGGGTGATAAATCTAAGCGAACTGTTCACTTCCAAGACGTGGAATGATTTTTCCATGAGAGTCGCATCATACATTGACTGCCCTTTAAACCTTTGTTCTCATATTTTTTATCCCTCTCCTGTTTTAACGAAATCACGGAGAACATAGTGGATTCCTTTCATTTTACTTATTATTATCCTTGCGCAATAACAAAGGTTTAACTTCAGTGAGAGAATATGTAGTTCTTGTAACTGCTACCTACGGCCTTGATATCTTCAAGATTTTCAGTAAAAAACCACACTGGTCTTCAGTAAGGACAACCAACTGCATTGCTGCTCACGACCAAGCTAAACCGCTTGGTCAGAAATCCGGTTCGTGGTCACTTATGTTATTGCTTGGGACTCACTGTTCATGTGCTTTTCAAAAATTAAACTGGATATTCTGTTTAGTCTCTATCATTCAGAGAAAACAAGTGAGAAAAAATTATGACATTGTACGATAACCAGAGAAACAGAAAATCTTTCGCCTGGATCCGTGCACTCGATGCGAGAAATTATGCCTTCCTAAATTTTTGACTGAGCCCATCATATACCAGGTGTGTCACTTCCATTAAATCTCTCAACTGTTCATCTTTAGGCTATAAGGGAAATGCATTCATTCTGAATCAGTATCTCGCTCCTTTTTACTTTTAGCTTTAACTTTTCATCCTATTTTAAATCCGTTTTCAGGTCTTAGCAACTGGTCTGAGTGGTCTCTATTCTAGTCTGCCGAAGAAATTGGTCCCACGTCATGAACTTCCCAACGCACAAGATTTAGATTCTCCGGGTGGACCAGTCACATTAACCAGTGCCGCCTTTTTCGAACCATTGTCCTCCGCTCCGTGTGTTGTGGAGCTTCCGGTTGGTGGACCGTCATGGCACCAACTGGCGGAGAACGAGTGGAATCAATCGACTGATTTACGTCGGTTTTTGCATACATTGGACTTTTGTAATTTGGTCATCAAGGTACGTTCACACTCGACTTATGATTGTTTGCTCGAGTTCACGTTGCTATATCAGCCTTTCTGAGCTTGTTTAGTGCCGAAATGATAGTACCGGTGTGGTGAGCTCAAATGATTGAGCGACGAATGAGAGAGAGAGGAAACGGACAGCCGGAAATGAGGTTTTAATCTTCAAACAATGTAGGTACATCAGCTACAATAGAAAGATAGAAAGTCTGCATTAACAGTAAACGGTGATGCAGTGGTATAAAGATCAAAGGTATAACAAAATCATAACAACCGGGAAAAGACGGGTTGATTGTCATCATCACCACACGTTCTAACCTATATTCATGTACTGGACTACTTTCTGAGAGAGGCACAAATAAACAGATAAACATCGGTTCAAAACCGGAGAGCCCTGTACATTTGACCCCAAGTTTCAGTTTTCATTTTAACTGTATTTTAACTTCGGATAATAAATCAAAACCTTCCAAAGGATATGGCTCATCCACGTGAATACCAGAGCCTGCAGAACTGCGTGAGATAGACTTTCTTACGCACTGTTCCGCTCGCAGGTCGTTTTGTTTGACATTGGGAATACTAGATGCCGAATGAAATCGACCAAATGGTAATGGACTAAATGCGTTCAATGATCCGAGCACACTACCGCATTTTTGTTTTTCTTCATAACCTCTTACCGTGTAGCGCAATGATTAATAACCGAATGTAAAGTGTCAAATCGAAATTATGCGGCTCATACCAACAAATATAAGCTAACAAACAAAGAAAGACTCGGTCGCGTGATGGGTTGTGCGCAAAAATAACGGAGAATATTGTTGGTATCAGGTCCAAATTCGGATCGATAGCTTTGAAGAATTTTTCCGCCGTGCTCATAGTGTTAGATCTGTATAGGAATGTTTTTATTGTCCACGGCCTTGTGGATAATATTGAATGAATAATCTAACTGAGCACATTATAAAGTTTTTTCTTGGGATGACGGGCTGGGACGAGGTTGGAGAGAGCATTTCTTCTGTCCAACAGGCACGCACACAACTAGTGATAATCAAGGAAAACTGGATCATAGACCACAGTTTGTTTCCGTTCTATTAGCTTGCCAGCTTGACCTGAGAGCGTACACGTTTTTTCTTTCACATTTTGGAATTTCGATTTGCCATCACTTGTGCTTCTCTGGTAAGTGTACTTGCGGTCCTCCATTCGACTATTCAGTGAGTTCATCTCAGTAGTGCGTGCACTTTGCATGCCTCCCGTTTATATGTACTCTCAATCCAAGGTAAAGGACACCACAAAATGGCGAAGAATATGTGCAAATCAGTGATGGTTCACTTTTTCCGTGCTCTCAAGCGTGCCCTATACACTCGGAGGAGATCCTGTGCCATGTGAACGACACATTGTGAGATTCTTGGTGCATTCATGAAACAATGTTACTCCGAGTCAGGTATCCAGTTGCCTGGCTTTTTCGTCTTTGTACCCTGTTTCCTGTATTATTAGTTCATCCGTTGTGCTGCGTATTGGAATGAGTCCACTCGGGTGCTTTCTATAACATTTTGGTTGGCAACCCTGCTGTCGCTTAGCCAGCTACCACGCGCAACCTTGGGTGTTTCACCTATATAAGTCTCAGGATTGGGTTATTTCTCTCACATTCAACATAAAAGTATAATTCAAGTGGATACTCAAATGCTGACTGTCTCACAGAGTTGAAACTACGCTCTTACTGCCCTCACTGTCATTCATGGCTTGAATCGAAATGTTAATTTTATAAATCTCTTTCTCGAATCTTCTCCCAGGGCTTTGTTTTTGACTGAAACACAAACCTCCTCCTCGTCACACATTACACATCTTCGATTCCCTACTTACCTTCTGCACCGCTATTTTTTATATCAGGGCCGATGTTTGTGCTTTTCATTGATATTCATTATTCTGTTGCTTATTCCCGACTTTCGCATCTCAATTTCTGCAGCCATGAGTTTCAGCCTTTGGGACTGAAACTTCGGTTTCCCTCGTTCAACCGCTACTTTGTACCATTTACTGATCGCCGAACACCAGCAATCCTTCCATCGTTAGCCCTTTATTTTTCAATAGTAAGGAATGAATAATGGCAGACTCGAACCAAATTCGAGCCAAATTGCTATTGCCGGAGATTTCATTGTCTACAACAAAGTGTTTAATGCATTACACAGACACTTATGGGACACGATGCCGAGGCTTTTGCTGTTGTCAAACCTCGGATTTATCTAGTTGACTTCTTCATATGCATCCCGGATCGTATTGGTGACCTCTCGCACACCACTGTCCGCATGCATCCATTACATCCATTCTTTCTCTTGTTTCTCCCGCACCACTTTCCTCTTTCCTCTTAGCTCATCTGGCCATTTCAGTATTTCCGTTTTCACTCACTTCTCTTGCCGCGTTTCACTACCTAACTCAGACACACCTTTTGGCGTTCCGACTCAGCCAACGGGAACGGTTTCCCTGATTTCTTGACCTGTTATCCCTAGAATGACTGTTGCCCCAAATCTGATGTTTCCACCGCTGTTTCAAACTTCAGTGAGATCGTTCTTCCCACATTATATCGGGTTCAGCCCCCTTACTGCAAATCACTTTTTGTGTTATAAAAAAGCGAAGACGTGTGTAGACAGGGCAATCTCCCAGTGATTCGCCTCATTTTATCTCGATTTTGCTTTATTTCACCAGATTTGTCATCAAAATGTGCGAGATCAATTGCTTTATTATATCAACTCGGGATTCCTTGTCCCCGTCTTAGGGTCCGCGTTGCATCAAGTGAGTTCCCTGGATCATAAAATAATTCGTTTTGTTGCGCTTCACTTATATGGTCTTGGAGTAGTTCAGCTCCTCAAGGTTAAGCCTAATGGCTCGGGGTGTAGAATTTGGTCGAACGTTTCTTGGTTGGGTCTGTGATTGATCGTACACTATTATATCTTCTATTTAGACGATAGTCCGATAGTTACAGTCCTTGTCATTGCCACATAACGTCTAATTCCATTTTGAAATAGGTATCATGTGATCATTTCTCCTCCCAAATGGCATGTGGCCTCGTGTCTCCCTTAGTGAATAGCAAGTCTATTTATCCTAGCTCACTCAGAGACCCAATAGCGTTAATCTCTTACTCCGATCCACAAGCGGATTCCTGTACGCGTTGTTATCTTTCGAACAATTTGGGCCGTGTTTATGCAAACTTGCCTTCTGTGAAACACCTTTTTTCTTCTCGATTTTGTGTTTTACAAAAATATAACCACTCATTTTAACGGGAAAAGGGATGCTGCCCAAGTTTCAGATTTCCGTTTCGCTTGTTCACCTATTTTCGTCAATACATACATAACTTTATCACCAACCGAATTAATTTCAGCTATGCGGATAACATGCGTTTTCACGCGATCGACGCATACAGAACTAGCGAAGTGCTCCTCCGGTTGTCTCTTAGGTTGTAACTCATCGGGGTATAGCCACACGGTTACAGTAGACGGAACAGTCGGGCGAGGAACAGCACAACTCATGAGCGACCTAGATGCAGCAGAGTACACTGTCTCAGTTAGATATGTATATGTATTCAGTACTCGCCGTATAAATTTCTCTGCATAACATTACTCGACGTCTCAGGTACTAAACTCGAAGAAAAGTCGCTTCGAGATTAAACGACTACAATGTGTTGAGCTTCTTAACTGCCATCTATTCAAAATTGTGTTCTTTTGATAATCGAGGCTCGATCGTTTGCATTCCTAGTTTGATTTGTGTAACTATTTGGCTCTTCTAGGTTTCTGTCGTCAGAATGAACCGTAGATGTTTAAGCATCTTTGGTTTTTTAGCCCTTTGCACTCATGCTCTGGTGATCAGTTTCTGAGACTGGGTGGTAAGCAGTGTTTTGATCCCACAAATAACGGACGCACCAAAGAGGACTATGCCCCTTCTAACGAATAACATAGGATAAATTAGAGCGGTTTGCATGTTTATTCTGCCTTCCAAAACGTCAGGTCTGTGATTGAAGCAAATTTGTCGGGGGAAAAAAACGTGTAGCGCGACATTTAACCACGACAAATTTTTCAGTGGCTGGCGCTTTGCATGCAAGATTGGCATTGAACAGCCCGGGCAACAGACACAAAATGGAAGCGATCCCAGAAGTGCCAAACCAATGACAGGGACGGTGGGCGCGAGATGACCACCTGGCAGTGAGTTGGAAAGTGAGGTTTGGATCGTCAATAAGACGGTTATCTTTCCACTCTCGTCATCATATGAATGAATGTTTGCGTATATTTAGTGTTGATCTTCACAGACAGTCATGCTGCTCTCCTTACCACGCCTGGTTTGTGAAATTTGGTACATTTAAAGCTAATACATAACTGGACTTCATTTACAAAGCGTCTGAAAATCCTTATTGAACAGAAGAATACATTGGTCAGTGATTCCAATTGTCGAATTTTAGAAGTTTACCCGGCATTGTACAGTTGAACTAATCGGCACTTAATGTTGAGAGGGTAATCCAAGACAAATTACCCTGGAACTAAACTGTGTTCGGAATACGAAGAAACAAGGTCTACCATTCTATTGGGGAATCTGTGTTCATTCAGTTAAGGGTGAATTGTCAGTTTTGGGACAAATTCATATACAACGCTTCCACCACACCCCATACAGTATTTTCTTACCTGTTTTATTTTCTTCAATTTTGGACCCCACCAAAGACTGCACCAATTTTCGGTCTATCCTTCAGCCCCCGCGTTAAAATATAAACAGTTTAGCCATATTTTTGTATGTAAATACAAAAATAGATTACAGAGAAATGCGATACAGCTCCTCGATTCCTGAGGTTATTATAATTCATTTTCATCCCCTTAGTTGGTTTCCCTCATAATAGATCACACCTCCAATTCACTGTTCTGCTTTTTCTCCTTCCCATCATCTGGTTATGCTGTGATCGACCCTGGTTCAGAGTGCTTTAGATGAAGTTGTCGCTGCTACTGCCTATTTGGAATTATTCCTTCGACGCCTTACCGAGCCCACCTTGATTAAACTGGTGCTCAATTTCATAGTGAACGGAACATATGACTCGTATTCCATATTGACGTCTCTCATCAATCGTCTGAATTCGAAAGCCGCGGTAAGTCGCATACTTTTTTAGTTGCTCTCGTGTTCCAATGCAAATTCCAGATAACAGGGTGCATCGGCGATTTTCACAATTGTTTGACCCCGTCCTCCTCCCCCACCGAAGCCTGTTGGCTAAAGTCCACTCCGCACACTATACGCTATTGTACTCTATAGACAAGTATTTTCATCTCATAGGACATAAAGTAATTCAGATATTTTTTTCTAGCGCGATATCAGCTGAACCCCTGGTATTACTTCACTCTATTTCCCGCTCACCCATCCTCTTAATTTAGTTTTGTTGATGTCATAGTGGTGATCAGGGGGGTCAACATTTCCGCGTTTTCTCAACGCTTTAGATTAGAATCTACATGCTTCAGTGATGCTCTCCCGTGCAGGATTGGCTCACTGATTAGTCAGTGTCGTTGAAGGGATGCACGTTATGCTGCAACCTGCTGATCAAGATCGTAGTCTGGCCAGTCTTCGTGAGGTTTGGGATCTGGCATTAAAATAAGCGTGTTTTACTGACCTCAATCTGCCCTATCCGAATGGACTAGCAAAAAGATAGCAACCAAAACTACTGCACATAGGTGCATGGTTAATGGTTATAAAAAATAAACTGAACTGAACTGCTGCTAAACTTCGCCATGACTAGTGCACACAAATATTGCTGTTGATATTCGTATTGTCTTCGGTTCCCTTCTCTGAACAATCGTAACTGAATCCCTTCTGTTTCGAAGCCATCAGATTTTAATACGAAGTAGCTGTTAACCTAATTTGCTTTCTTGGTCCAGCCAGCATAGGTCTTTGGTCTTGTCCACTGCCCTGAAGTGCACGTGGTTATATGAGTGTTCGAGTAGGAGATCACAGAGAAGTACCTTGTGAAATCTCCGCGATCAGACAACTGACTGCACCGCATAGCTCCTTCGTTGTTTCAATCTTCTCCTCATTGTTTACTCTGGTACACGATATAAGGTTTTTATTCAGGAGGGGCGGGGGTGAGGTTAGTGTCTTGATCCAGCTCAATTGGGGGCAACAACGCTGCTAAGTCGGTAAATACGTCAGTGCCGTTAAGCTTCTCGATTTTGTTTCATTCCAGGTCCTTGTCCTTTATTTAGCTACCTAATCTTGTAATTTTCCAAATTTGAAGGATTCTCGTTCTTTCATAAGTTTCATCAAAGACCCTCATGCTCGTTAATGGTCTTTGCGCAGAGATAGAATAGATTGCTTTGACTATTTTGTGTTTTTGGTTATGAGCAAGCCAATTTTTTTAGGAATAAGAATCACATACAAGAAAGGGAACCGGTTTTGATACACCTATTTTATCAAAATGCACCTTGTAAGGTGTACATGAACTGATCCAACGTCCGCCAACCCTGCTTATCGAATGATGTCAAGTCCATGACATTGGATAGCTGGTGAGTAGAACCAAGCACGCGTTTGCTGTCACCACACACTAAAGTGTGCAATGGGGATATAGATCGCAAGTTGTGGTTGTCTGGCTACCGTGCTTCCCCTGATTCGAGTGAACGGTGAATCTGTGAATATTATTCCCCTCCGCTTTCGTGGAAGATAGCCTTATTTTCATCGCTCTCTCGTTCACTTTATAACGTGAATGATTGGTTTGTTACAGTTGGTAATCTGTGAACACTGTAGTGGTCAACAAGGGGTACAGTCAAGTGAACAACATCTGAAGCAATGTCCAACACTTGACCGTGGGCGTCTCTGTCTTCAACACACGTTTTGGAATCATTATGGTACCCTTCGTAGATAGTGACTCTTTTGTGGTCTTCTTTTTCCTCATCTGATAACGCGTTCAGAAGAAAGTTTTGTGTGCAATATTTGACCGCCCTCTGCTCATTCTCATCGGTACAACTTGCTCGAGTCAGCTGACCTCGCTGTCCTTGGACAACTGATTGCACTGCTCATATCATTCCCGATCACTGTAGCCAGACTGTCAGCCTCGGTTTCATAATCACCCAAATAATTTTTCCCCGTTTGAAACTGTGATGGATGTAGAGTTATCCTATTTCATTCCATCTTGCACTTTGTTTTTCGTCGATTCTTTGTTGTCTTTCTTCAAAAGAAGCCAAGTCTGTACTTGTCGCCATTTTTTTTAAATAATTGCCTGCCCGTTAGATGATAACAGGCTTGGGATTTATTTGCCCCTCCCTCTCCCCCCTTCCCGCATTTCGGTTCACTTGTTTCATCGAACGACCGTTTGGAGTGCGTCCAGTCCCAGCCTTGAAAAAGTTCATACGTCTGTTTTTGCATACTATTTCCCTTCTAAAGCCATACGGTTTAACTTTTGATTACGTCCAACTCTACACATAGGGTGTTGGGGACTTGTCAGAACACGTGAGTTCATATGCGCCATTTTCCACCACTCAAATCGCCTATCCAGTTTAACCTGCTTGCCATAAGTACACTCGATCGTGGCCTAATGAAATCCTTCGCCGATTTCATGGTATTATCCCTAACCTTAGTTTAAAAGNCAGTCTACCTCTATTTAGCCTCGACACTGCTTCCTAGCCGCAGTAGTATGCACCACCCAACAGCACCTATCGGGACTGTGCTTCAAGTTGTTTTTGTTTTTTTCTAATCATTGTCAATGTTTTACTTCCACTTGCCTGTCTCTGAGTTATAAACCAACCGATTTCCACTCTGAATCTCTCTCTCTCTTTACTGTATCACTTCTTCCTTTCCTTCATATCGTGTCGGTTACCTTCACGTAAACGCTGACCTGAGAAGCGCTGTACCAGCGTTTCAATCTAAAGGTGTAATTATCAATAACTTGAATCCTTCCACCCCACTGAGGTTTATATCGGAAGCTTCACCGCCACATCCCTGGTAGTTCGTCCGACCGTGTCTTTACATGCCGCGGTTAGCCTAACCATGTCTTGCAAGCTCATTGCGAGTTACTGTTTCAGTTCAACCAGCCTGAGAGATGACGATGAAAACAACTTTGGATTAACGGTCAGCCTGCGAAAGTATCAAAATCCTTGGTAGAGAAAATCATCATCATCATCATCGTCATCGTATAGTAAGATACAGTGAAGCGAACTTCACTGATCGCTGCCAAGAAAGAAAAGTTTCTGATACAATCACAGTAAGACTAGTATCATTTCATTAGACACTAGCGAATTACATCTAAAATCATGTAGTGTCAAATCCGTAACTAGAGATTTTGAAATATCCACCTTTGGGTACCAATCTATTTAAGCACATATTCCAAGGAGTCGGTTTTATCATTAGACTGGAAATCACTTCTGACGACCCCAAGCACTTTTTGCATCTTCACAGAACTCTCAATTTCAAAACAGATCCTCACTGCTCATTACCTATATACTAATCTTGATTGTTTCAATCGTGATATCGTGTACCCCCTCCCTCTCTTGAATCCTTTTGAAGATAATTTCGTTTCTTTTTTATTAAATCCTGTTTTTTGTTTCCAAGTCTACGTTGATTATTAGCTATCCCACTTTCCCATAAATTGATTTTTCTTCGTATGCAAGCTACAGAATTTTCCACTTACCCCTATTCGTTCAGTGATATCCGTACAATTTTCATTCAGATGTTAGATACCTATTCTCCAAAATACACCCTCCATAAATGGAATACAACCAAGGACAAAGTTTATGACCAAGATATTTGAAAAGCAGCTGTTACGTGATCTTTGATACATTTTTTATTGCAAAATCGCGTCTACCCCCAATTGTGGTCGTAAATCTGTCGATGTCGTCTAACGTGTTGAAGTAAATCACGTGAACTGGTTAAGTATTTCTAGTATTTCTTTCTTCCGGCTGATTGTCCATCGCCGATGCATGTGTAGATTTTGTCACGTGACCGTCGGGTTGTTTGACTCCATACGCGTGGATCTAATTTAGAACACCCTCGGGGCAGTTCACTGGTTTCGGCTTGTTCTATCGATTGGCATTTTCGGGATTCGCTAGTAGGCAAAGTTCCCGATTCCAGTGCATCAGTTTTTGAAAGGTAAACATGGGGATCATATTGAAAATTTAGTCGTCAAAAAGTTCATCTGATTGGTACACTTCGAACGAATGTGGTCTACATGTCTCCAGGGCTTCTCTCATTTTGTGATGAGAGTTTTGTTAAATCACTCGTCATCATGCAACACAATAATGTCCTGATGATTATCTAATAACTACCAAGAACGAAAGTGCCGTGTCTTATTTCACGAGTTGACTAATCTTTCCGATCGTTATGTGTAAAAGTGTGCAGTTGGGCACGCTTGATGAATTTTCTGTGTCTGAGCTGAATTCGATAGCAAAAAGGTAGATTAAAAATTTTTGTTCGTTTCTTTGTTCCCGTCATACATGCACATACGTGTACAAACATTTACACTACTGGATCCGTTATCTGGTTGATCGTTCTTTCATTCTGCCGCCTTTTTGAGACACTGTTCTGTGCCAGTAAAGTGACCATGAAGAGTTACTAACGTGTGACTTACTGTTCTGTGTATTAGCTCAGATCTTTTTTGGTGATGTTCTTCCATGTCTGTAATCTTTTCAGACGTGGATAATCGGTTGCTTGGGTTTTTTTCGTCTAATTCTTTCGAGGTTCCTGGTTATCAACCATGTCATAGTGCGATCTGTTATTTTCTGCCTTTTCCTGAGCGTCGCATCCCATCGGGTTTTCTCTATTCACCTGTGTTGTTTTGTCCTAATAGACTTCTTCATTTTCTCTGTCGACCACCAGCTTCGTGGCCCACATCCACATCTTTTAACTACTTCACTTATCTAATAAATCTGGGGTATTCGCCTATCCCTCAAAATGATCGTTCATCACATTTTGTGCTTTTTCTCACTCCCGCTCGATACTTCGTCCTTGCTGAAACGCACCTAGCTGGTCACAGATGTGATGCATCAAGTAAGTTGGTTCGCATATTCGGTCACTTCGTTCCCTTGTGGAGTATTTGTACTTTCGTTCTCCGTTTTTCTTGTCCCAGGTTTGCGTCTTTTTACGCCACAGTGTCACGTGCATTGTGCTTGACAA